GTTCAGCAGCTCCAGCATCGTACGCTGGATCTCCCTCTCGCCACCAGAATTTGAGTCGTACCTTTAAGAAAACAGCAGAGTCAGGAAAAGCACTATGCAAATTTAAGAACACACATCACATAACTGCCACAAATGTATAAACAAAATAGCGATATAAAACAAAAAGCAGGTTTTCAGAAACATACTGTGCCACCTAGGTAAGTAAAGAGACAATGAACTATTCTTGTAGCTGGGGAAAGTAACAGCAATTGTGTGAAGGAAATCTGTCCTGTTTGTATGTACCTGGAAATCTTTTTCCTCCCTAACAAAATAAACAAATTAACATAGTAAAGGAAAAACCCCTAAATCTTAAAAGCACATACAGCCACTTCATAGAAAACAGCTTGTCACTCATTTTTCCATTTCAGTCTTTCCTCATGCATAACTGTGGTTGTAACTGCACACCCTTTACCATTATTAATGTGGGTCCTGGTTTAACTCTGCTTTTCCTGAAAGGCAGGGACCTCTGGCTGCATTTCTCTGCTTTCTGGCTTATCTATTTTGTTTTGTTCTTATTATGGGGCTCAATAATCTACATACAACATTCCTACATGCAGCCAGAGAACAGAGGTTACGTCCCTGGTCACATCCATTTAATATGAGAAGGCTGTGATGTATTTTAGTCCCAAAGAAGCTATTTGAAGTTTTACTCATTAAAAATGCTTGAATCACAAGAAGTTTTCTGAAAATGGTAGCAGAGCAAAGAGAGGGTTGCGAAGTGTCTCCAGTAAAGCCCTGCTGCCCCTGGCGGTGCCCGCGCGAGGGGGCAGCCGGTGCACTCGCCTCTTGGTGCCGATGGCGTCGATCTCGTCGATGAAGACGATGGAGGGCGCGTGCTCCTCGGCCACGCGGAACAGCTCGCGCACCAGCTTCGGGCCGTCCCCCAGGTACTTCTGGATGAGTTCTGACCCCACCACTCTCAGGAAGGTTGCCGACGTCTGGTTTGCCACGGCTTTGGCTAGTAAAGTTTTACCTGTTTTAATTGGAAAGAAATACTGTAATTAGTTTGGGGGGGAACAACTGCTTTAAGAAAACAGTCAGGTGACATTTGTGAGACATGGCAATGCTCTAATACTAAGCAAGCAGAATTTATTTTTTGTTAGCTCTGCATGGTTGTTACTGTACTGTAAGATACCTGTGCCAGGTGGGCCATACAGAATGACCCCTTTGGGTGGCTTTATACCCATCTCTTCATAGTATTCAGGATGGGTGAGAGGAAGCTCCACAGATTCCTGCAGCACAAGAAACACAAACCTGAGTTTTTATAAAGAGTAAGGACTCTCCACAGAATTTCTGTGGGAATCTTGAGAGCAGCATTAATAAAAGTCACAAAGGCCAAGAAGAACTTAATTGATTTCAAGACAGACCTCGAAAAGTTTGTCTCTCTGTTGCCCCCAATTCTGAAACAGACAACTACTCTATCTGGACAAGTCTTCCTATTGTTCCCACTCGACATGTGGAAAAGAAAGAAGTGAGCGTTCCCCTGCCACCAGCCTACATACATCATGATGAATTTAGATCACATATGATCATGCAATCCTGGAGGATCTTGAGGTAGGGGGACTTTTTATGAAAGGATGCCTTCCACCATGAGTTGCCAGGTACTACAAATCAATATTTTAAGAACATTTGTGATTTTTGACACCTACCCAAAGCAAACGGGTTGAATTTTACCACAGTTCAGATAAAGCTCTGCTGGTAGGAAAACAAAAAACCCACCACAAACCAAACAAACACAAAACCCCAACTGAACAACAAACAAATGCAAACACAGAACAAGCCAAAAATCCCCCACCCACCAAATCCTGAGATTGCATGGCACCCAATGCTCAGAACAACCTCTGCGCTTTTTACAAATTAACTCTCATCCTGCAACAATCAATAACTTTACATGTTGCAGAACAATAAGGTACTGCAGAGGTTTCATGAGCTCGGGGCTTTACGGGTTCCATAGCAACCTGTGTACAGTTTGTGAGCACCAGTGCTGCCCAATCAAGAAATACAGGTGCAGGAGTCTGCTGAGAAGAAATGTGCCACAGCAAGGTACAAAAGGGTGCTGCACCAACAGCCCAGTCCTGCTGCTACACATGTGAGCTCCCAGCACAGCAGCCCTGTTGCTTGGTTACTTAATGGTGTCAATTCAGTAGAACTGGATACCTTGATTTCTTGAATCTGGTTGTCAAGGCCACCAATGTCAGCGTATGTTTCTTGAGGAGCTTTCTCCACTTTCATCACAGTAACTAAAGGGTCTGTGTCATCCATCAGGACTCCTATCACAGCATGAACCTAATTCAAGCATTAAGAGTTGTCAAAGAAAGCAAGCAGCATTATCAATGCAAGCTCAAGCCTAAACCAAATGCCCACCTACTTAGGTGCATAAAATAAAGAGCAATAGCCTCAGGCCCTATGATCCCCTGATTCTCAGAAAAAAAAAAAAAGGCCAGTTAAAAACAGTACAGGAATTTGTGCTTCATTTTTTAAAAAGAACTCACCTTATGATTTAGCAATACAGAGCAGCCTGGCTCCAGCAGGTCCTTGTCCACAAAAGACAGAATACTGACATAGTGTTCCGACCCTACTGACGTGGACACGATAGCATGGTTGTCATCAATGATCTCCTCCAAGGTACCCACTGACATCGGTGTTCCCCTCAGATCATCCACCTTTGATCTTTCTTCCTGTTGTTAAAAGAATCCAAGAATAACTCAAGGACACAGGTGAAAATCTCCTTGTACAGCACCGGCCCAGCAGTCCACGCCGAACGTAACAGAGCCAGCCCCTGCTGTTGCTGTTTTGCTGCCCCGGAAGGCAGGGAAGCACAGGTCAGGAACAAAATCCACTATTATTTGAGTCCTGTCCTGTGGACACTGCTACATGGATGTGCATAGCTAGAATATTCTTTCTTTCTCCACTGCTGGGTATCTGGGAGCTGCACCTTGACAGACCACTAAGGAACAAAAAAACACTGTGGCCTGTAGCAACCCATGTTTGGACTAAAACCATTAAACCACTAGAAAAAAATCCTCTGTCTTCTGGACAGTAACCGAGATTTAATGAAGATCTGTAATATACATATTATGTTTGCACTGACTTACACATTCATGGCACTTTATTTCCATTACTTTTGTATGAAGTAGTTCACATCAGAGCACTTATTGTACTATTAGAATTAACAGTTTGCTCAAATCTTACCTCTTGTTTTTCTTCCAAAGGTTTCATCTGTTCTTGATTTCTGATAAATTCTTCCTCCATTAAGAGGTAATCTTTAATTCTCTCCAATTTCAACAATTTCAGCCTGCACTGTGTGTGAGGAGTCACTGTAATCAAAGTGGAATCACAGTATTTTAGACCAAGTTTGACATGGTACCAACTCTTCACTAATCCATTACTAGAAATTCTGCTTTACTTTCTGACAGTAACTTCTATATGAGCAGCAGTCACTATTGCACTTATCCCACCACAATTCCCGGTTAAAAAACCAAAATCTTTAAAGATAATGTCTCTCCTGCATTTTTCCTCATTTCAATTTCTCACTCTCTTACTCAGGAACTCACAGACTGAGTCTTGCATAACAGTAAACTTATTTTGAGTTTTCACGTTAATCAGAACTAAAATTTGGCTTCTGTTTAATGCCCTGCGAGCTGGGCGCGGGCTGAGGTGGGGGGCAGGGGAGGGGAGGGCTCTGCGCAGACGGCTCGGGGGACTGCCAGGCAGGCAGAGCGCTTACCCAGGGGCAGTTTGCTGGCAGCATCTGGTCCCTTTGTTTTCTTCTTCTTCTTTCCCACTCTGGTTGGAACTGGAGGTTCATATTTCTTCTTCTTATCCTTATTCGTAAAAATAAAAAAAATAAATGGGGATATGAACCCTGAGAATACAGACGCTGGGCACACCGACTGAGACAGAGCTCAGCTGAAGCTGAACGGCTCCCTAACAAAATTCTCTCCTTTACAACACACAGCGAGGAGCCCAGAGAAGATATTACCATCTTTTAAGAGAGTTCAAAAATGTATTCTTGTGCTTATTTTACATCACTTTTAAATCTAAGTTTCTGTCAATTTTCTGTGAATACAGAACACAGACGGCTAAAGCCTGAAGTGAATCACAAACAAAACTCATAAATGAAAGGATGAGGGAAATACTGAATATGAACACTTCTGTTGCATTTTAATGAGCAGGTAACGTGCACTCTGCCAGCTGAGGCGCAGCTTGCCACGGGCTCTGCTTTGCCAGCTCCACAGGAACCTGGAAAAGCCTCTGGTGGCCCACCCCATGAAATACAGACTTCACGCTGATGGCAGTATGATGGCTTTCAAACCAAACCCAGTTAATTAAGTGACACCTTGAAGCCAACTAGTCTTTTGTAACCCAAACAGATTTATGGTTTTATTCTTTTTAAAAATAAATTATCACTGTCACATAATTTGTTTTCCTTTACAGTTAAGCCCCCTTTTCTAGTTTTGAACAGCAGCCTGTTTTCTCCAGTGTGCACTCAAAAGAAATAAGACACTTTATCAAAGCCAGTAAAAGTGTACTTTTATGAAGCTCCAAGTACAAGAACAAAAAGAAAAAACGAAAAATAAAGCCTATTGCTGTCAGGCTCTGTAGCAGCACAGCTGTAGTTCACCCTATAAATAAACCCATTTGTTTTGGTTCTAGTTACCTTGTCATCCTTCTTGCCCCCTCCAGGACCATGTCCACCACTCTGACTTTGACCCTAAGTAAAAAGAAAAAAACAACCAAGTAGAGGTAAGTACAGTGCTATCAATCTCAAAACCGATGGACAGTCCCATGTACAGAAATGCCCTAATGAGATTTCTGCTGGGCACACGAAGTACTAACGCACTCCAGTTAACTGTCAGAGGCCGGTGACTACGAAGAAGTGTGGGCCCGTGCGGCAGGGAGAGAGGACGCACTCGTTGCTGGGTTTATTGACACGGCACCGCGCTATGCTGATCCGAGGCAGTTTTAGCTGGTTTCTTGCTAGTGCGAACTACCGAGCGCTGTAAGTGACGTGTGTCACGGACAGCTCTCCGGCCAGCTGCCCGCCCGCCCT